AAGAAGGGTCTAGGCCCGAAACATCAGCCTTCCTGCTCCTCTGATGCTGCTTGGCCTGCTGTGTTCATCCAGCTCTACACCGTGTTATCTCTTTGTTACTGTTGATATCTTTCCCTGTTTCTGACTGTAAGAATCGTACATTTGTCCTCACTAATCTTTTTTAAGACCATAAGACATAGGAGCAGAAATTAGGCCATTCAGCCCATCGAGTCTGCTTCACCATTCAATCATGGCTGATAACTTTTTCAGCCCCATTCTCCTACTTTCTCCCTGTAATCCTTGAACCCCTTGATAATCGAGAACCTACCTATCTCTGTCTTAAATATACTCAATGACCTGGCCTCCACAGCCTTCTGTGGCAGTGAATTCCATAGATTCACCACTCTTTGGCTGAAGGAGCTTTTCCTTATCTCCATTCTGAAAGGTCTCCCCTTTACTGTAAGGCTGTGCCCTTGGGTTTCTCTCCTACCAATGGAAACATCCCAACATCCACTCCGTTCACGTACGTATAGAAACTTTTGCAACTGTTTCGTGTGTTGCCCACAAGTTTACTCTCATACTCTACTTGTCCACTCTTAAACCAATCTCTTTGTTCTCCTTTGTTGAAATTTAAACTGATCGTCAGATCTGCTGATTTCTTTTTTTGGTCAATCTATATTCCATTTCCAAATCCCTAACTTCCCATGTTAGCCATGGTCAGGCCAACTTTCCTGTTTTAATTTTGTGCCAGACAGAAATGAACAATTGTTGCAGTTAGTCCATGCAGTCTTTCAATGTTTACCGTTGCCTATCCACCATCATCCCTTCACAATGTTTCCCAATTTACCATAACCAGCTTGTGCTTTATGCCATCGTAGTTTTCTTTATGACCCTCAACTGCAAATCACTCATGATTTTAATGGTGAATTCTATTATATTGTGGGTGCAGCATGCAATGACTCAGTGCATGACAGCACTCTTGACCTGTGCTTCGGAGCATCGGTGATGCATTGAATCAAAGCATCCATGACACAGATATTGCGAACCCCATAGCACTGCAATCAGAGCAACAATGGCCCCCACCCCTATGAAATAATCTAGTATTGAAAATTTACAAATCCCAAAAAACAATTTTTCCTCATTGAACAGTAATTAAACTCCAGTGCCTGTATCTTGGACAGGTTTGAACTTTGATCTTACACTGATTTAAATGCAGTCATATTTTAGCAGCCGAATTTTGCATTATTCATTTCAGGCCATGAAGCTCACATTATTATGAAACATTCAATATTAGTAAACATATTGTACATGACTCATCCTAAGATTAATGTTCTTGTCTGTTTTTGGGGGCAACCAGGTGTTTCACAGTTTGTTGTCTTAAGTGTTTCTATTTTGCTGTTCCATTCTTGTTGTCAACTATGGCTTCTGTTTACAAAATGGCGATTGTGCTGTTGAGATCTTTGCGGTAATCTGTGAATTGTGAATTAAACAATGGGGCTTAGTTTGGTACAGCTAAGTTGAATGAATGCATATGGTACTTGAATGGCAAGTGGGATGGAGGATGTCAAATTGGTCAACAAAATGTCTTCATTTACCCCAAGACAGAAGCTGCAGTATTCCTTTAAACGTCTACTAGCTTGTTTCTACTTCTGTGCAAAGTCAATCTAGCTAATGAAATCTCAATATTTTAATTGGTGGTGAATTACTGTAATAATTATTATTTTTGTTTTCAAAAAGTAACGGTTAAGATACTGATCGGAATTTAAATGTCTAGCAAAAGTATGTGAATGTCAGATTGCTGTCATTCCAAGGCAGACAAACTTCTGATGCTGTCTAAGATGACACATGAAGAATAACCATTTGGGAGTGAAGTCAGCTGATCATTGATGCCTTAGAAACTGTATCCCAACAAGACTCAGTACCTTCAGAGGAGATGTAAAGGTTATTTCTGTCTGAAGATTTTGATAGAAGAAAAGGAAATTGCATCACATGGTGTCCTTCAGATTAGTGCTTGTCTTTCTGATTATAGCAATTTATACAGCCATTTGCAAAACACATGTTCCATCTCTTCAGTCAGGTTATAGTCTATTCCTGTTAATTCAGTCATTATTTATTTGAACAAAGTTCACAATATCTTGTAGCTCAAATTAATATTAGAAGCAAAATGGGACAGCAAGCATTCTTTGCTGAGAGTGAAATGCATTCCTAATTCAGACGTACAATGCTCCTTTATTGTTGCTGGCTCAGATTTGTGGAACCTCCTGCCTAACAGCATTGTGGGAACTCCTTCACATAGACTGTAGCAGTTCAAGTGGAAAGCCTTCTGTCACCTTTTCTAAACCAAGTAACTGTGCTAACAGGAATAGACTGTATTGCTGTAGGTTCTGACAATAAACAGCTAACTTTATTATACTGCAGTACAAAAAGTTGCAAGGCAAAGGAATACTGCAACTTTGACATTCTTTTTGCAAAAGTAAAAGAGTTGTTCAATTTGTGAGAAGAAACATTTTACTGAAAAAAGATGTGAGCATGCTGCCTACTGCAGATTCCTTAAATGCATCTGTACAGTTTATATCTTGTGCAATTTGAAATTAGGATTAACATTGGGTTACAAAATTAATTCTGTTGAATTCTTCACTCTATTTCAAAGCTTCAACATTAAACAAGATTTTTTAATCTTTGAATACTGTGTGTTGGTGACACTTTCTAGACTCACTGTCTGGATGTGCTTGCACCCTGTAAGATGTGAGTGCTTGAGTTTGCCCCCGTGATCTCTCCACACAGTAACTTTCCAATCTTGATTAGACCATTTGTGAGAGGCAGTAAGTGGGGAAAATCCCTGTGGAAAAATAGTAAGGCAGAAATGGGCAATCTGCCTCACTTTGAGAGTGAAGAAGATACTTTTAAAAATGAAATGGGTGAAAAGGAGGTCAACTGTTTTAAAGTTAGATCATTCTTGTATTTTTGCATTACATCGGTTTGAAGTTTAGGCTTTTCTTTTAGAAATTTAGGTTATCTGCATGCATTATTATTTAAAAGAATTTCTTTCCATAGATTGATTCCATTGAGAATTTCAACCTCTCCAATTCTCCATCTGGTGATGAGGTGAAATCACAGATATATTCTCGTTCTCGGTCGCCATCCACAGCAAGTGATATAGAACCTGTGGAGGTGGGTATGTGGCAGTCCTTATACTGTCTCCTTTTCAAAAAAGAAAAGCTCTTCTACTCTCTTTTTACCTTGGTGTCAAACTATTTGTAGCTAAGCATGCAGAGGCAAGCAACCTAATGCTGGAACAAAAACAAAGTTACTAGAAAAGCTCAGCAGGTCTGGCAGCATCTGTGAAGGAGAAAACAGAGATAACGTTTCGGGTCCGGTGACCCTTCCTCAGAACTTGCTTTCAACATAGTGAAGTGTGTTGGAAGTGATGCTCTGAGGAAGGGTCACCGCACCCAAAACATTAACTCTGTTTTCTCCTTCACAGATGCTGCCAGACCTGCTGAGCTTTTCCAGCAACTCTGTTTTTGTTCCTGATTTACAGCATCCACAGTTCTTTCGGTTTTTATTTAACCTAATGCTGGAATTTAGCCACAGCCCTTTGCAATCAGGAATAAAGATACTGTTTATTTCTTTTCTCTTCTCCGCCACTCCGAGTACACCCACAGTGTGGGATTTTAACTTTTGATCAGCATCTCCTTGAATGTGTTCATTCCAACACACTTCATTATGTTGAAAGCAAAGCTCATCGCACTGCATACTGCATTTTATTGTAGTCTACCATCTCAAAACTATAACGCCTTACCTCCCTTAGGCTTTGCTTCTTGTACTATCAGTAATCTTTCAAATCACAAGCCTGCCATAAACTATTATCAGTTTACAGATTGGTCTCATGTAATGTGCTACTGTTTCTTACATTGCCTACGTCCTCCAGTATAGAATCTAGCCCTTCAACTCTTGTTTTTAGTAATGTTGCTTCACCAGAGAAAAAGGAAGCCACCTTCCTTTTAAAAAAAAGTACTGGTAGATGTCGTCTTGTGTTGCTCAGAAGGAACACACTGTTTGATCAATTCCTTCAGGGTCACTGTTGAAAAAAAGTGGATTCCAGGTAATTGCATAATTTATGAACGTGCTGAGATCAAAGGACTATTGTAGGTAGCCATCATTCAAATTCAGGTTCATTTAAAAAAATAACTTACAGCAAAAATGACATTTGTTGCCACTCGCAGATTGGATATTCTCACCAAAGATGGTTTTATTTAATAGAAAATAATAAACCATGCTCCAGTTAATGCTGATAAGAAGAGTTAAATATAATGTTAGATCAAAGAAAGTTAGTGTTGCCAAGAATAGTAAAAAGACTGAAGATTGAGAGTATTTTATAAATCAGTGAAAACAGACAAAGAAACAAATGAGGAATAACAATATGTAGGTGGACTAGAAAGAAACGTAAAACCAAGTTATCAACCTTTTCATAGGTAAATGAGAAGAGTTTATTGAAAACAAATGTGGGCTATTTAGGGGCAGAAACAGGTGAACTAAAAGTGGGGAACAGGGGAATTACGAAATTACTTGCTTATCTTCATGGTAGATACATAAACATTATAGAAGTAACGGCAAAACAAGGATCACAGTGAAAATGAAGAACCTTTCAAAAACCTGAATATGTTAAGAAGTAGTAGTGGAAAATTAACAAGTGGCTTCCTACGTTGTTCAGGGCTTTAATGGGCGGCACGGTGGCTGAGCGGTTAGCACTCCCGCCTCACAGCGCCAGGGACCCGGGTTAGATTCCACCCTTGGGCGACTGTCTGTGTGGAGTTTGCACATTCTCCCCGTGTCTGCGTGGCTTTCCTCCGGGTGCTCCGGTTTCCTCCCACAGTCCAAAGATGTGCAGGCTAGGTGGATTGGCCATGCTAAATTGCCTGTAGTGTTCAGGGATGTGGAGTTTAGGTGGGGATGGGTCAGTGTGGACTTGCTGGGCCAAAGGGCCTGTTTCCACACTGTAGGGATTCTATGATTAATAAGACCACACCTGGAATAGTATGCACGGTGTTGGTCCCCATTGGGCTGGACAATAAATGCTAGCTCAGCCAGTGACCCTATACTCCATGAAACATTTTGTTAACAAATTCAAGGAAGAGTATACTTGCTTTAAAGTTGGTACAGCAGAGGATTACTCAATTGGTCCTGGAATGAGAGGGTTGTCCTATCAACAGAGATTGAGTAAAATGGGCCTGTAATCTCTGGATTTCAGAAGATTCAAAGGTGATCCCATTGAAATATGCAAGATATTCTTTAGGGTAGACACAGAGAGGTTGCATCCCCTAGCTGGAGAATCAAAAACAATGCACAGTCATGGAAAGAGGGAACAAGGGATCCATCTTTTAAAGCAAAAATGAGGGATAATTTCTTCACTTAAAGAATCGTGTGAATTTTATAAAAATTTCTCTACGCCGGAGAGTTTGTGATTGCCCCATTGCTGGAAATACTTAAGGGTAAGATAGACTGATTTTTGATGTCCTAAGAATTAGTAGGAACAGACAGGAAAGTGAAGGTGAAGCTGAAGATCAGCCATGATCATATTGAATGACAGAGCAGGCTTGATGGGTTGTACGGTCTACTCCTGCTCTTGTTTCTTATGTTCTAATGTAGAAAATTAGCCACATCATGTTGAGTGGCAGGGCCAGCTCTGGTGCTGAAATGATCTACACCTATTTTTAATTTTCTTCTGGCTGTCTCATGTTATAGGATGCCTGGTTATGTTTTACCTTTTGGATGGATTTTGCACGATACAAATATCTACCAGTTCTGAGTGAAGTGCACCTAATCTAAGGAATTCAATCAGATAGTTTTCTTTATTCGTATGACCCAAAGGAGTTCGGTGAATGATTTTGGCCTAGGAACACTTGCACACAACAGATTTCACATTTTGAGACCATTACATTTAATGTTAATCTCCTTGAAAGGAACAAGAAATTGAAGGAGAACGTTTTACCAGTTGTGAAGGAGGTTTCCAATAAGATGTTTGTACTGTCTGATTAACCCTAATTGATTATTCATCCCAGTGATTGAAACTAATCATCTTTATTTGAACCTTATTAGGGAACTGACAACCCCCAACGTACAGCACTGACGCCGACCATCAGGTCCTCCTACAGTGGTTCCAGTGTCTCAACCCCAAAGGTAATGCCCTCTTTAACTTCAGATAGCTGCTTTCTCCAAGGATTAGACTTGAGTTCCTTCGTAAACATAATGCATTTGCCCCCTCTCTACACCACCTCCTCCCCTCCACTCTCACTGCTAGAGACTGATCTTTCTTTCTGACCTCTAATAGAAACTGTAGGAACTAACCAACCTCCTGGGTGTCAGTTCGTTGAGAGATTTCCTTGTTATCAAGGCATTTTTCTCTGATTAGGCTTTACTCTGCATGTGAGGTTAGAGGTGGACAGAGGTCGATCCACAAATGCATAAACTTTGCATTGAAACTCTGATATATAAAGGTACAGTGTTAATACTATATAAATGTTTTATGCAATCCATCTGTTTAAATAAATGAGCGCGTCTGCTTTAAAAAGGGTTTGCGCACCATTTTACTCAGTATTTGTCCATTAATCTTTGCACAAGATGATTTGCAGGGAGACACTCCTTTGAATTAGTAATCTATATTTGAAGGAGAGTTTGAAGATAGCAAGGGATTGAGTTATTTCTCCATGAGAGCATGTGTTATCCAGCAGCTTCCAGCGTGAGCAATGAGCATTAAATACCATTCTGACTTCAATGACTATCGATTCTTATTGTGTTTTTTTCTTTTACAGCCAAAAGCTCATCAGTTTGTCGTGAAATCATTTAACACACCAACAAAATGCAATCAGTGCACATCTCTGATGGTTGGCCTAGTACGTCAGGGCTGCACTTGTGAAGGTGAGGATAATTAGTTAGTATGACTTAACAGTCATGCTCTCACTGTCATTCAAAGTGTGAGCTATTTTGTCATTTCAGCATAATTGGCACAATATATTTGAACTATTTTGGTTTCAGTGTAAACAATGGTTTTTTTTTTAAATATTGTTAGCTAGATTTTACAGTCCTCACTGCTTACATTTGGGTTCTTTGGGTTTTGGCCTCTGCATGAGTTGAACAGCAAACCCGGCCTCTATTACATCTACCACCTCTTCAGCCTATCATTGTTGGCCGTGCCTTCAGTCAGCTGGGCCCTTAATTCCCTGCAAGTCCCTCCAGTACTATCTCCTTTAAAATCATTTAGTTTGGTGTCGATTATGCTCCTCTGGAGCACCTTGGAACATTTCAGCATGTGTAAGTATAAGTAGTTGTTAGTCGCCCAGGGTGAACAAAGTGGGCTACAATAATGACAGACAAGTTTAAGTGTCACAGTCACCTGTCACAAATTCTTAATAATCAAAAAAACAAAAAACTGCAGATGTGGGAAACCTAAAATAAAAATAGAAATTGCGATAGAAACTCAGCAGGTCTGGCAGCATCTGTGGAGAGAAAAAAGACCTCCACAGATGCTGCCAGACCTGCTGAGTTTCTCCAGCAATTTCTATTTTTACATATTAAATTCTCTTTTGAGTTTCCAACCACTTGTTGAGGATATTCTGTGACTTCCAAACCTTAAAACTTACACAGGGTAGGCATCACCATAAAAGTAAACTTGTCTGGTGCCCCAGTGAATTCCCTGCAGGATAAACAAATGCCACAGCTCACCTTAACAAGGAATCAGCTTGCAGCTGTTAGCAACACATATGTTCCTGCGCTCCGACTCTTTACAGCAACAGACAAGGTCAAGGAGGTATTTTATACTAATCTTGAGCAAATCAGAGCTTAAGTCTCAATCAGCAGCAAAGTCATAGAGTCATAAAGCATGGAAACAGACCCTTCAGTCCAACTCATCCATGCTTCTCCATCATAATTTAGTGCTTCTCCGTGTATCTTAGAGCTTCAGTAGCATTGTTTGTTATTTTCATTCAGGGAATCTCGATGTCCCTGGCTGGTCCAGCATTTATTGCCCAACAGTAGTTGACTTTCAGAAGGTGGTGGTGAGCTGCTGTCTTGAAATGTTGCAATCCATTTGGTTTAACCCACAATACAATTAGAGGAAGTTCCCTATCAGCACTGTGGGACTACAAATTGACAAGGGTAAGTAGTGGGGTTAAAGAGAGCTTGACTAGTAGTGGGGTTAAAGAGAGCTTTTCTATGGGACAGACTTCATTTGAACCATACTGGGACTATTTTCCTAGTGAATTTGGGTTTATAGATGGAATTTAAACTAATTAGTTAGGAGAGGTTTACTTGAAAAGCTTAAAAAATTAAAAAGAAATGAGAGCAATGGTACAGAGTAGTGAAGAGGTGAACAGTAATCAAAGTGTGAAAGGAATAGGTAAAAAAAAGTAGACAATTTGCTGATGATGCAAAAATAGGTGAGAGAACATGTTGTGAGAGGACACAAGGAATGTGTCAAGAATTTCAGTCGACCAAAACTTGTAGATGGAGTTTAATGTCAGAAAGTGTAAGCTCATTGACCTTGGTTGGAGCAATCAAAAGGCAGACTATTATTTAAAGGGACAGAAACTCCAAAAGATGTGCAACACAAAGGGATCTGGGTGTTCTTATGCATGAAACGCAAAAGGTTAGTGTGCAGGTGCAGCATGTGATTAAGAAGGCAAATGGAACTTTGCCCTTTATTGTGAGTAAGTTGGAGTTTAAAAATAGGATTGTTTTGTTACAACTGTACAGGGTGTTGGCGAGGCAACAACTGGAGTACGGTGTTTAATTTTGGTCCCCATATTTGAAAGAGATATACTGACATTGGAGCTAGTTTAAAAGAGATTCACTCAGCAGATACCTGGGATGAAGCAGTTGACTTATCAAAACAACTGATCAGGTCAGGCCTTTATTCATTAATGTTTAGAAGATTGAGGATGATCTTGTTGAAATATTTGAGGGGAGCAAACACAAAGAATGCTGGAGAAGCTCAGCAGGTCTGGCACCATCTGTGGCGAGAGAGTTAATGCTTCAAATCTGATATAATTCCTCTTCAAAACTGAGAGGGCTTGACAGGGTAAATGTTGAAGGTGTTTCCATGAGTGAAGAAATCTCAAACAAGGAGACATGGTTACTGAATTTTCTACTTCAGAGAATTGAAAGTATTTTAGAGGCGATCAGTAGATTCTTGAAATATCAAGGAATTGAGTGATATGGGAGCTGGTACAAAAGAGGACTCGAGGCCTAGGGCAGATCACCTTGATCTTCACAGAATTAAAGAGGCCTTATGGGGCAGAAAGAGGCCATTTGGCCTATCATGGCTACACCAAATCTGCACCACCCACCTCTCCACACCACTCTTTTTTTAATTGCACCCCACCCACCCCCCAACCTCACCTTTCCGCCCTTATCTTCCTGCACCACTGCTGTTTATTTTGTACCTTATTACATGGTGGGGTCGGCTTCAGGGGCTGAAAGTCTTATTCCTGCTCCCATTTCTGACGTGTACTTATCAAAAAAAGGTCCATCTGCACTTGCTGCCTGGTTGTTGTCTTATTGTTGAATTATCTTTTCTGCCTCATACTGGTTTGTGGTTATGCTGAAATGGTGGTGTGTAACATGCTACAGAATGGAGTCAATGACACATATGTTAAAAACAGAGTTTCTGTTAAGGAGATCTGCAAAGTTGTCCTTCCAGTGGACATGGCTGTCCCTCTGTGCTTGATGAGCACTCTGCTTTCTTGGCTAGCTGTGGAATGGGGCGTGAGTGCAGGGACAGTAAGGTAGTCTTGACTGCTGTGAAGAAACAATGCACATCTTCGTTCTTGGCTAACCGCTGGATCACCTGCACTTTCTCCATCCACCTTCTGCTGTTTGGCGTACAGCTATTTTGCTGGACCTCAGCCTTCAATCATCTATAGAGCTATTTCTTAGCTCTCAAGTTGAGATGCTCTTTCAGGTTCAGAAATGCCTTGCAATTTCAGCTTATCAGCTGCTGGATTTTGTTAAATTCCTTCAGGGGGTGTGCAGTTCACTGGCTAGGCCAGCATTTATTGTTCATCCGTAATTTCCCTTGCAGAGATAGTCTGTCTCCTTGAACCGCTGCAGTCCATTTGGTGAAGTACACCCACATTGCCATCAACGGGGGGGTTCCAAGCCAAATCCCCTCAGACATATCAAGGAGATAGCCTTGACCCTAACTTTTATCTTGTTTAAAGGCAAGTGTAAGGCGCTGCGTTCAAGATGTGATTCGATTGGTCAAACTACTGGATTTAAGGAAAACGCATTTTATTCTTACACCACTGTTAAAGTACAATAAAAAAAATGACAGACTTTAACACCATCAAAATACTTAACAAAATAATATATATTTTAACTACTGCTCATCAACTGTTCCAATATAGCAGCATCCCATAAATACACACTGGGCAAAGGCAAATTCAACAACAGATTTCCCTCACTTGCTATTGCCTTCAGTCCAGGTGAAGGAACACCAACAGAAGGAATCTAGTAGCAGAGAGAGTGCTCAAAATGTTACAGCAGCAGAGAGAAATGTGTATCTAGCAGCTTCAACTCCAAAAACCCCAATTTCAAAAACTTCAACATTCAAGATGGCGGCAGGCTGAGACACTCCGGCCAGAGCTCCTCTGTTCCATCCTTTCTTTTTCTTTTCTCGCCTCTTTTTTTCAAAATTTTAACTTTAACTTACCGGAGGTGAATGGAGGAGACTGAAGGTCATGGCGAGTCCCAGGCCAGGCCAGGCCAGCGTGGGAGTAGAGAGACCAGGCAAGTACCAGGGGCGAGTCCCAGGCCAGGCCGGGGTGGGGACGGGGAGCCCCAGGCCAGGCCAGTGTGGGGACGGGGAGCCCCAGGCCAGGCTGGTGTGGGGACGGGGAGTCTTGGAGGAGAGGCCTAGAGGTTTGATGCCTAGCATGTTCTAGAGACTTGGTCCAGGCGGTCTGAAGGCTGACACGGAGTTGGTGAAAAGACCAAAATTCAAGTCCTTTCTAAAAAGAAAAATTCTTTATTCTTATGCTGAACTTTTATTTATGATTCTCTCAAGTCTGTAATGCATGCTTAACTATCTACCTGGGTATCCTGTACCTGAAATGGCGACATCAGAAACTTTTCACAGCACTTGCATGTGACAATAAAGGCTATTTCAATGAAAGCAGAACTAAAGCCTTGGGTCTGTGTGAGCCTGACTGCACCCACTCATGCTTCTTTTGTCTAATTTTTAAAAAACCCAAAGCTATTTACTGTGCTTTCCATGAAACAGACATCTCGATACCAGGTTTACAACACTTGTCATCAAGAGAAACAGGGCAGAACAAATCTCTGTTCAAGCTACATTTTGTCACACAGGATTTTGACCAGGATCTCCTGGTTTTTCTAACTGAAACAGCCTTTGGCGTTTCCTGGTTGAGTGACCAAGTGTCTTTTCTGACACACTGATCAGGGATGCCTTGAGAGCAGACCAGTTAATGTGGGCATTCTGGATCACCAAGAGTTGACAGGTTGGTACTGCGACACTGGCTGAATAGGGCTGTGTTATCAGGTTCTTCCAGTGCCCCAGTGTCAATTTTCCTGAGGCATTGTTTCTGCTGCTTTGGGGCTACATTGATGATGATGGCAAAGCAAATTACAGGCGAAAAGTAATATTCATGTGGGCCAAAATGTGGCAAATGGAATTTAATGTGGATAAGTGTGAGATTATCTATTTTGCTCGGAAGAATAGAAGGGCAACTTATTATCTAAATGGAGAGAAACTTCAGAGTGCTTTGGTGCAGAGGGATCTGGGTGTCCTTGTGTGAATCACAGAAAACTGGTCTGCAGGGATGGCACATAATAAGGAAGGCAAATGGAATTTTGGCATCTATTGCTAAAGGAATAGAGCCTAAAAGTAGGGAAATGTTGCTGCAACTGTACAAGACATTAGTGAGACTGCACCTAGAGTGTTGCGTACAGTTTTGGTCACCTTACATTAGGGATGTAGTTGCATTGGAGGCAGTTCAGAGGAGATTTACTAGATTGATTCCAGAGGTGAGGGGTTTGTCTTATGAAGAGAAATTGAGCAGTTTAAGCCTGTACTCTCTGGAGTTTAGAAGAATGAGGGTGTATAAGATACTAAAGGGGATTGACAAAGTAGACATATGAGGCAATCTAGAATGAGAGGTCATAATTTTAGGATAAGGTTCGCAGAATTAAAACAGAGATAAGGAGAAATTACTTGTTTGAAAGGGTCGGGAATCTGTAGAATTCACTACCCCAGAGTATGCCTGATGCTGGGACATTGAGTAAATTTAAGGAGGAGATAGACACTTCTTAATTAGTAATGGGTTGAAGGGTTATGAAGAGTAGGAAGGAAAGTGGAGTTGAGGCCAAGATGTGATCAACCATAATCATATTGAATGGCGGAGTAGACTCGAGGGACTGAATTGCCTATTCCTGCTTATCATTCTTGTGTTCTTAATCAGCAGCTTCTAAATCATTAACTGGTTTAAGTTTATATTACCTTTTGTGGGATTTTGTGTGTGCAAAATGACAGCCATGTTCATCTACATTGAGGGTAAAATTGGCAAGTAATATAAAATGAACAGTAAGAGCTTCTTTAGCCACATGAAAAGGAAGAGAGAAGCTAAAGTGAACATATGTTGCTTTGAGAAGAAGGCTGAGGAAATAATAATGGAGACCCACGGAATGACAGAGGAGTTGGGACATTATGGCTTATAGGTATTATTGCTGGACTGTTAATCAGGTAGTGTTCTGGGAATCCTGGTCGAATCCCACCCCAACGGGCAGTGGAATTAAGAGTCTAATTATGATTGTCGATTGTTTGAAAAACCTATCTGGTTCACTTAAGGAAGAAACTGTCATCCCTACCTGGACTGGCTTACATGTGACTCTAGACCTGTGCCTATGTGCTTGACTCTTAACTGTTCTCCGGAAATAAGGTCTGGCTTAGCCTTCTCATGCCTCATACCACGAATGAATAAAAATGTTGCATACATATTTTGCAGTTTTCGTGATAGAAGTCACTAATAGCAATTAATAGCAGTCAATACATCTTAATATATTTTATATAAGGGCTCTGATGTGTTTCTGAAAAATGTGCTAAGTTGCTATACATTTATATATTTTCTTTTATTTACATGATTTAACTTGCTGTTCTTGTATAACTAATCCTTTACAAATACTGCCACCTCCCCAGGGCACTGATTCCTAAATAGTAATATGATCAGGATGTTGCAGCCAGATTTCCTGAAAAGATGCACCTTACGTTGGTATTCCACTTTGTATCTGACATAAACTTGAACTATGTCCTAACTCTCACCAAGTCCAGTTCATCCATCACCCCGTACTGCCTGACCCAAATTGCTAACATTTAAGCAATGTATCAACTTTAAAATTCTCATTCTTGTTTACAAATCCTTCATGTGCCTCCCTGTTTCTACAACCCACCCCAGCCCATAAGCATAGAATTAGGAACTGAAATAGACCACTCAGCTTTGAGCCTGATCTGGCTTTTGATAAGGCCATAGCCAATCTGTTTGTGTTTTGACTTCCACATTCTCATCTACTCCCAACAACTTCTGATTCCCCTGTGTACAAGTTATCTGCAGTCCTATAGTTCTGGATTCTTGCATCACTAATTTTTGTCACTCTACCATTAGTGCCTGTCTTCAGTTGCTTCAACCCTAATTGCCTCCCTGATGTTCTGTACCTCTTTTTTTCTGTTAGGACATAAATTTACACCCTTAACCAACTTTCTTAGTTACGGGACCTAATCCCTCCTGAAGTGGTGGAGTATCCAATTTTATTTGATAATGGCTCCTATGAAATGCTTTGGGAGGTTTTACTGCATTAAAACTGCTATAGAAAATTAAATCATGATAGTTGGTCACATGGTTGCTTGATCAATTAAGGTGTTGTTTCATTTTTAGTATGTGGGTTCTCATGCCACGTGACTTGTGCAGACAAAGCACCAGCTGTGTGCCCCATCCCACCTGACCAAACAAAGGGACCACTGGGGATCGACCCGCAGAGAGGCATCGGGACAGCATATGAGGGACATGTTCGGGTAAGAGAGAAACAATGCAAAGCTGTGGATTCACAGATCTGGCTGTAAATGAGGGAACATATGATAATTTGAACTGGCAGTCATTCTTGTACCATCACTAAAGGAAGTCACCTTTATGGAAACAGATTCATTGGACATAATTTCTCACAGTTAAGTACTGTTCCTGATAAATCTTTATCTTTTAAATGGGATAAAGTGTCATAAAAACTTCATGCACATTTCTTTAGAAGATCTCTAAAATTTACAGAGGCATGCGCTTCACACTTTTGTTGCTTTTGGTTTTTTTACTGAATCAGTCCTGATGTCAACATTTGTCAAGCCCCAGTCAAGGCTTATATGCATGCTGTGAGCTGACATTCTGCTCCAAGAGTGTTGCATTGTTTAAGTTCCATCATTCAAAGGCAATAGATTATCAAGGACCTTTTTGGCTATTCATATGAACGTTGAAGGTCCTACAGTATAATTTGTCAGTATATTACAAATGCGGAAGGCCTTCTATATTTCACTATCTTACTGTAAAGTTAGAATTCTTTCATCCACTTTGTTTTATTTACACAGTCTAATTAGTCAGTGTTTTCTAGCCAAATATTCAGATTTCAATGAAGAAGTCCACACCCAGTCAAAGTGAAGCCCAGCGAAATTGTTTACAACTTCAGAAACAGTTTGAAGTAATGGCGATTTAAAGAAATTCCGCCTCTTAGATTCTGAGGTTAGACATTAGCATTTGCTCTTCCCAGCTTAAATTCCAGCTGCTAGTATCATTCTCACTAATACATCCATCAACAGTTACCAGGAACCTTTAGCTGGTTCACTGCACACCTCCGACCCAGTGCATATTTCCCAGTATCACAAGATTTGAGCAGTGCTTGTGAGAGAACATTTATAGTCATACAGTGCAGAGTGTTTAAATAGTTCAGTGGTTTACAAAAATGGGTCAGCCTTCAGTAGCAAAACATTTGGTTGACAGTTGTTTCATCTGTGGTTATTTGCTTCTTTGTGAGAAGTGGGGATTTGCAGGGTCAGGAGGAAGTGGGTTAGGGCAAGGTGTTCAGGCAAGATGCTGCGGGCATCAGGATGTGGTGAAGAATTGTTGCACTGCTTGGTCTTTCTATGCCCTTCAATGTTAAATGATAATACATGTAAATCAAAAGCCATTCTCTTCCGTCATCATACAAGTGCTTTGAATACCATGTATCCTTATTTCCATCTCTCAAATTTCTGAATTTTTCCTTCCTAGGTACCTAAACCTGCTGGAGTGAAAAAAGGTTGGCAGAGGGCACTAGCAGTAGTTTGTGATTTCAAACTGTTTTTGTATGAAATTGCAGAAGGAAAAGCTTCACAGCCAAGTGTGGTGGTTAGCCAAGTTATTGACATGAGGTATGTGTATGGAACTCTTCCTCTTTCGTGTGGTCCACCTGCTGCTTTATCCCATTTTTCACAGGGATCCAACGCAGGCTCTGTGTAGCTAAAGTGGTTCCTTATCAGGGATACTGTACTGATAATCCGTCCACTTTTATTGCCAGCTAATGTTCAGTAAGGAATATTCCCACCTCTCAGTCCAAAGGTTGTGTGCTCGAGTCTCACTCCAGAGTCATGAACACAAAAATATAGGCTGACATTCCAGTGCAGTACTGAGTGAGTGTTGTATTGTTAAAGGTGCAGTTATTCAAATGAGACGTTAGCTAAGGGGGGTTTAAAAGATTCCATGGCGCTATTTTGAAGAAGAGCGAGGAATTTCTCTCTTGTGTGTTGACCAATGTATACCCCTCAAACAAATTAACTAGTCATTATCACATTGCTGTTTGTGGGAGCTTCCATGCTCAAATTGACTGCCATATTCTAAACTTACAACAATGTTTAGACTTCAAAATGTGTTTTATTGGCTGTAAAGTGTGTTGGGACATCCTGAAGTTGTGAACTGCGCTACATATAATTTTTTTTTAAGGTGGTACAGGGCTTCCCAAAGTAGTTTGGGGTTGTGAGCCGAAGTATTGAGGTGCGACGCAGTAATAGCTGCCATGAAGCTTCGACTGAGTGAACAGCTGTGAGGCAGCTTTAACTCCTCCCGATTCTTTCAAGGAGTGTGTGCGGCCTAAATAAGACCATAAGACAGAGGAGCAGAATTAAGCCATTCGGCCCATCGAGTCTGCTCCGACATTCCATCATAGCTGTTACGTTTCTCAACCCAATTCCCCTGTAGTCCACCATAACCCTTGATCCCCTTACTAATCAAGAACCTATCTATCTCTGTCTTAAATACACTTAGGGACTTGGCCTCCGCAGTCCTCTGCGGCAATGAGTTCCTTTGCCCCACTATTACAGGTCTTTCCTTGTACCCAGCCCCAACACTCTCTGACATTTCTCATCGACAGGTCAGAGCAATTTTCCAGCCTTGAAATGGGGTCCCAATGGGAAAAACCTTGGGAACCCCTGAGGTAGTATGAACGTTTCTGTTAAGTAAATAATTCATGAACATTCAATCTTTTCAAGCCGTTAAACATGCAGAGCAGTGTACGTTATAAGAGCACAAGCACAGTTTGTTACTTTGCCTTCTGAACATTGTTGGCCCATGAAGTCCTTCCAGCAATTAATCCTTCTTTGCCCTCTAAAGCTGTCAGCAGATCGGTGAGATATCATTAAGGGCAGAATATTGTTGTTTTGTTTTCTTTTTAAAAAAAAAGTATTTTCTTTTTAATTTCCTCCCAGGGATGAAGAGTTTTCAGTTAGCTCTGTATTAGCTTCTGATGTTATCCACGCCAATAGGAAGGATGTCCCCTGTATCTTCAGGGTAAGTGGTAGTGTCGCTATATCCTGAGGTGGGAGGGAAACTTTTTAACAACAGCAAGAGACAAATGGCAGAGGGATTACAGTGAAACCCTGTCATTAGAATGTGTTGTTACTTTGGGGTTTCCCAAATTTGAGGGTGTACTTCAAAAATAATCAGTTTAAACATTTCATTACGTTGTATTTATTAATTCTATACTGATAATACTTACAAACAATGTACTTGTGTACACTATCACCGGATTATTCCAGTGTGTTGTAGTTACAATGGCTTACTTTTCCTCTTTTTCAATGAATACTTTCTCACTCTGTTTTTCCTACTGGAAGCATAAACACATTAAAAAAGAAATACAAATGTATCAAAAGATCCTAAATTAACTCTAAATTTTGAATAGCGTAATTTGTTGGTTTTTCAAAATTCCCTGGTCCGGGTGCTGGGCTTCTTTTAGCAGATAACACTCCCATAATTTTCTTTATTATTTCATACTGTAGTTATTTTTTCTGTCCCTTTCTAATTTGCCTTTCTTATTTTCACTATTTTTCTCTCATCTGTTTTCTGTATTCCCTTTCACTCAGTTCCCAATGTTTTTGTCCCTTGTATTTTTATCCCATGTTTCTGTTTCCCTCCCCTCATCCTCTTTCCCTTGGATAATTTGCCCAATTGTCTCCCATCATTGATATCCCTGCATGATATCTTCACTGTTGTAGTTGCCTGTCTCTAATTCTTTCTCCTCTTCTCACCACCTCTCAAACATGTGTTCTGCCTTTCCTCTGTACCTCTTGTGTTTCTCTTTCCCTTCTCTCATTCCCTGCTTCTTGCTCTTCTTTCTGACTCTTCTCCTATTAATGTTTCACAACTGGTCCCCTTTGTTTTTTCCCCGTCCTCCTCACTCTCTGTACTCTGTAGCAGTCATGTCCCTGATTATGCTGCTGCTTCCTCTTTGGGGTCAATAGCTATAGTGGGACCTATTGGAGTGGCAGTGATTAAATGGTTAATGAATCCAGAGCATATCACATCAAAATATATTGGTACGAAATCCAGTAAAGTGGAGATGTTTATTTAGGCTAATGCAATCTATCTTTTCTAATACCTCAGGACTTCCTCTCATCATGTGAATCAAAATTTGTGTTCGTACATTGCAGCATTGCTATCATTATATAGTTCAGTGTCAAGGCATTTCAGTTGTGTTAAATTGCCCAAGAAGACATAAGTGAACCTGGTTGATTCATTCATCCAAGACCAATTAGTAAAATGTTCTGATAAATGCTGGATTCGTGCATATTTTAATTTGGTGAAGCTGGAGCTTAGAGTCAAATGATGTTGTACCTCAAAGCGCTCCATAGAACATAGAACATTACAGCGCAGTACAGGCCCTTCGGCCCTCGATGTTGCGCCGACCTGTGAAAC